AGCTCCTGACCTGTAGCCGTAGCAGGGGGTCTGCCGACCAGCTGGGGGCCCCCCTCATAGAGGCTGACTTGTCGCGGTGCCAGAGGCCATCTGTCCAGCCCTCAGCCACCCGAGTCACCTCCCCGCTGGGCAGCAACGTGATGCTCCGCTGTGATGCCACAGGCTACCCCACGCCGGTACTCACCTGGACCAAAGCAGCCGGAGCCTCCATATACAACACAGGTAAACATTTATGAACATTCTGTGACGTTGCACCCAATTAAACTCAACCCTACTCTTTAATTTTAACATGGAAAATTGCTGTTGTTTTCAAATGTCTGATTATCTTTGATCTTGACAGAGTGCTGTCAACAACCATACAGCAAAGCTGACCCTGAAAAACTACCCATTAACTTGGACAGCTGTAAGTACTTCATGTTACCTCGGCTAGCTTGTGCGTTTTGAACCTCTTGTTGCCGCATGTCTTGTCAATGGACTTGAGTCCCCTATTTTTGTGTTACATTCCAGTTATTCAGGAATCTCCGCGTGTGGGAATCCGATGGTCCATCATCAACCTAAATGGACTTTCGTACAAGGATGCAGGAGAATATCGGTGCCAGGCACGGAACATGGCGGGAACAGCAGAGGCCCCCATTAGACTTAGGGTGGTGGGGGTGATTGCTGTGCCCCCTTCCATAAAGAACAAGACCCGCAAAGCTCCTTCTAGATCCTCATCCAACAACAGAAAACCTCTCCCGCAAAAGCTGAAACGGGAACAGAATATTACTTCAATCTCCACCCCAAAGAAGAAGACTCTTCTGAACCTCAAGTATGTTACACCCCGCACTCCAACGAACAAGATCCCAGAGTGTCAAAATGGCCCTGGTCCCCACCCCCCTGAAAGAAATGTAATCGTCCTCACCACAGAAGGACATACCCAAACGCAAAAATACCTCAGCCTCAAAGTCAAAGAGAAAACCTCAGATATCTGTCAATACTATACCCACCTTGCCAGAAAAAAGTCTACCACTCCATCATCTTCACCAGAAAACAACCAGGACCAAATTTACATTTACATTTACATTCAAGTCATTTAGAAGACGCTCTTATCCAGAGCGACTTACAAATTGGTGCATTCAACTTAGGATAGCCAGTGGGACAACCACTTTTTTTTTATTTTTAGTTATGGGGGGTGGGGGAGGGGGGGGGGGGGGGGTAGAAGGATTACTGTTATACTATTCCAGGTATTCCTTAAAGAGGTAGGGTTTCAAGTGTCTCCGGAAGGTGGTCAGTGACTCCGCTGTCCTGGCGTTGTGGGGGAGCTTGTTCCACCATTGGGGTGCCAGAGCAGCGAATAGCTTTGACTGGGCTGAGCGGGAACTGTGCTTCCGTAGAAGTAGTGGGGCTAGCAGGCCAGAGGTGGATGAACGTAGTGCCCTCGTTTGGGTGTAGGTTCTGATCAGAGCCTGAAGGTAAGGAGGTGCCGTTCCCCTCACAGCTCCATAGGCAAGCACCATGGTTTTGTAGTAGATGCGAGCTTCAACAGGAAGCTAGTGGAGTGTGCGGAGGAGCGGGGTGACATGAGAGAACTTGGGAAGATTGAACACCAGACGGGCTGCAGCGTTCTGGATAAGTTGTAGGGGTTTAATGGCACAGTCAGGGAGCCCAGCCAACAGCGAGTTGCAGTAATCCAGACGGGAGATGACAAGCGCCTGGATTAGGACCTGTGCGGCTTTCTGTTTAAGGTAGGGTCGTACTCTGCGAATGTTGTAGAGCATGAACTTGCAGGATCGGGTCACCGATTTGATGTTAGCGGAGAACGACAGGGTGTTGTCCAGGGTCACGCCAAGGTTCCTTGCACTCTGGGAGGAGGACACAATGGAGTTGTCAACCGTGATGGCGAGATCATGGAGCGGGACAGTCCTTCCCCGGGAGGAAGAGCAGCTCCGTCTTGCCGAGGTTCAGCTTGAGGTGGTGATCCGACATCCACACTGATATGTCCGCCAGACATGCAGAGATGCGATTCGCCACTTGGTTATCAGAAGAAGAAGAAGAAAATGTAATTGTGTGTCATCTGCGTAGCAATGATAGGAGAGACCATGTGAGGATATGACAGAGCCAAGTGACTTGGTGTATAGAGAGAATAGGAGAGGGCCTAGAACTGAGCAGAAATAATTAAACGTTGGCTAGCTAGCACAAAGTCAGTCATGCTAGCTACACAAGTGGACTACACATCTCGAATGTTCAGAAAGTGAAGCTTTACTTTGCTCATTGACTAAAATTATATTTGTATTTAGTTGCTACAGTACTGCTAGCTGGTAGTGTTGGCTAGCTAGCAATGGCTGCGGTGTTGACCTTGTTTGAAAAACGGCGTCGCTGCGAAACGGCAGATGATGTTCTCTATACTACACCTTTATCTTTGATACAAAGACAAGACAAGATTTGATGTACTCAGTTTTTTTTTTTTACTGTTTTTAGAGAGATAAGGCTTATCACCCACTTATCTGTGTAAGATCTGTACCTGTGCTAAAGATTACAAGGACATATTTCTACAAGGAGCTCAGCTATAAAGGGCAATTCCGCCACTTCATATTCATTATCTCCTGCGCCATACCAGTGTCTACATACAGTGGGGAGAACAAGTATTTGATTCACTGCCGATTTTGCAGGTTTTCCTACTTACAAAGCATGTAGAGGTCTGTAATTTTTATCATAGGTACACTTCAACTGTGAGAGACGGAATCTAAAACAAAAATCCAGAAAATCACATTGTATGATTTTTAAGTAATGAATTTGCATTTTATTGCATGACATAAGTATTTGATCACCTACCAACCAGTAAGAATTCCGGCTCTCACAGACCTGTTAGTTTTTGTTTAAGAAGCCCTCCTGTTCTCCACTAATTACCTGTATTAACTGCACCTGTTTGAACTCGTTACCTGTATAAAAGACACCTGTCCACACACTCAATCAAACAGACACCAACCTCTCCACAATGGCCAAGACCAGAGAGCTGTGTAAGGACATCAGGGATGAAATTGTAGACCTGCACAAGGCTGGGATGGGCTACAGGACAATAGGCAAGCAGCTTGGTGAGAAGGGAACAACTGTTGGCGCAATTATTAGAAAATGGAAGAAGTTCAAGATGACGGTCAATCACCCTCGGTCTGGGGCTCCATGCAATATCTCACCTCGTGGGGCATCAATGATCATGAGGAAGGTGAGGGATCAGCCCAGAACTACACGGCAGGACCTGGTCAATGACCTGAAGAGAGCTGGGACCACAGTCTCAAAGAAAACCATTAGTAACACACTACGCCGTCATGGATTAAAATCCTGCAGCGCACGCAAGGTCCCCCTGCTCAAGCCAGCGCATGTCCAGGCCCATCTGAAGTTTGCCAATGACCATCTGGATGATCCAGAGGAGGAATGGGAGAAGGTCATGTGGTCTGATGAGACAAAAATAGAGCTTTTTGGTCTAAACTCCACTCGCCGTGTTTGGAGGAAGAAGAAGGATGAGTACAACCCCAAGAACACCATCCCAACCGTGAAGCATGGAGGTGGAAACATCATTCTTTGGGGATGCTTTTCTGCAAAGGGGACAGGACGACTGCACCGTATTGAGGGGAGGATGGATGGGGCCATGTATCGCGAGATCTTGGCCAACAACCTCCTTCCCTCAGTAAGAGCATTGAAGATGGGTCATGGCTGGGTTTTCCAGCATGACAACGACCTGAAACACACAGCCAGGGCAACTAAGGAGTGGCTCCGTAAGAAGCATCTCAAGGTCCTGGAGTGGCCTAGCCAGTCTCCAGACCTGAACCCAAAAGAAAATATTTGGAGGGAGCTGAAAGTCCGTATTGCCCAGCGACAGCCCCGAAACCTGAAGGATCTGGAGAAGGTCTGTATGGAGGAGTGGGCCAAAATCCCTGCTGCAGTGTGTGCAAACCTGGTCAAGACCTACAGGAAACATATGATCTCTGTAATTGCAAACAAAGGTTTCTGTACCAAATATTAAGTTCTGCTTTTCTGATGTATCAAATACTTATGTCATGCAAGAAAATGCAAATTAATTACTTAAAAATCATACAATGTGATTTTCAGGATTTTTGTTTTAGATTCCATCTCTCACAGTTGAAGTGTACCTATGATCAAATAAAATAAAAATAATTACAGACCTCTACATGCTTTGTAAGTAGGAAAACCTGCAAAATCGGCAGTGTATCAAATACTTGTTCTCCCCACTGTATGTGAAATGGTGCGTTTCTGTGATCTGTGGTAAAAAATTGAAGAAAGGTCCTAAAAAAATGCTTCTCTTTGACATCACAGGGCAAGATTAAAAGTAAGAAAACTGTGATTTACAAAACCTTAGTAAAAGGTAGGGTATTTATTTGCTCCCCCACGTCACTACAAATTTCATAGTGTTTGAAAATCACTGTTTTTAAAATGTTTTTTGATGATCATTGGGTAGAATGTAGAAATGTGCAATTTTTACATATGTAGTCACTGGTATTGTGCTGGAGATAATGAAAATGAGGTAAAAAAGTGGTGGAATTGCCCTTTAAGAAAATTGCACAGTCATACAGTGTGTTTGTGTGTGTGTGTGTTAATAGTCTGGAAAACTACAAATAATTCCTACTGAATATGTATTGTATTTACCTGCAGTATAGTATTATTAATATTCATGTGTGTATTGATATTGGATTTGGTATTGACCATGACCTTTTGTCTTTGATGATGTCATCCAGGGCCGGCTCGAGGCATAAGCGGTCGCTTAGGGCCCCAGGCCGTACTCAGTTGGGGTCTCAATTTACTGTTAGAATAGTAGAATACACAAGGTGCAGTTTCGAAATTTGGTTGTGCATCAGCAGTTTTCCTTTTGTCAGTCACTCACTAAATTTTTTTAGATTGGTAAATTAGTCTAGCTAGCTATCTAAACTTGAAGTAATCATGGCTTAATTACCGACCGGGCATGAAGGGCACGTGCCCCTATTGATTTTTTTTAGTCACTCTCACTCAGATCTAATTTTAGCATGGCATAAATCATGGCAAAATTTGTAGAATTTCAGGAAATTAGCTTTAGTACAGGCAGGAAATGTATCTCCACCCCGTGGCAAAATCTGAAGAATTGCAGGAAATTAGTTATAAATTAGCAAAATGGGTCGAATTGCAGAGAACTTGCTTTAAAACTGCACAATTTTCACTACGCCCATGGCAAAATGTGTAGAATTGCAGGAAATGAACTTTAATACTAAAATAAATTCTCCCCGCTGTCAAGAGGGGGGCCACTAAAATGTTTTGCTGGCGAGGTTTGCACATAAAGGCGAGTAAACTTTTAAATGTGTGTGGCCATTCCTTGTCAAGATACCACAGTGTCACCATTGATTGTCATATTTAATTGTAAATAAAATAAAATTGCCAATAGATTGTCGACTTGATGCATGATGATGACTGCTTGTCTAGCTTGCTAGATAAGATTTTGAAAGTATGATATTGACATGATCAGTCCAATCAAAGCTACGGTAGATATAATGTGATTTAACGTAATGTTATCTGTGGCCAATCACCTTGAGCCTTCTTGGATGGGCACTTCTAATGTAAGTCTATGGCAGCACCCAAGGGACTTGAATTTTCGAGCTCTACCCGTAGATTTTGCAGTGATGTAGTGTCCCCATGAGTGACAGAACACTGAGCTAATCACGGCGCAACTAGAGAACATTACCAACCCCTACGCTCCGTATTTTCCGCTGGCTGCCCCACCACCACAGAAAGCACTGAGCTAGGCTGAAACACCTGCATTTTGGAGCTGCCTTACTCAAGAAAGCAAAAAAGAGACCATGTTTGTATGTGGCTTTATTAACTAAAATGTATTTTTTAAATGACATTGTTTGCAAACTGATATGTGACACGTATTAATGCCAAAATAACATATATATATATATATATTTAGCAAAACAGGTGGGGCCTAAAAACAGGTGGGGCTCTGCCCTCTGATATGTTAGACTAAGGGACCAGATAAGTGCAGAGGTAAGAAAAGGAACAGATTTCTGTGGTGGTGCATTACATGAGAACGGGATATTCGAGGAATTCCTACACTTCACAGCAGCTGAAGGCTTGGATGCTAGTCGCTGCTGAGATCATTATCCTACAACGAACACTTGAAGGGAGCAGTCACTCTCATTCATCTCTGTATTGTGCATTTTGCTAAAGGAGATTTATGGGTTACAAATAAGGCCTAGGCAACATTCAATTCCATACACAATGGTTTCCACAGATTTCTACCCTAGTATTACTATTATTGTATAACTTTTTTAGGCTGTAGTCTTTGACACAGGATTTCTGTAGGCAAAGGCTATTTTATATGAGGGGAAATGGTGCTCTTAAAGTTATTCTATGGAGAAGCAAAATAAAGAGGCTAAACTGTAGAACTAATGAGACATGGGAATAAATGCACTATTCTCGTTGTGAATGCGAATATCAGGGGTGTATTCATAATGCCGACGCTGTTACAAAACGTTTAGTCTGTTGCTAAATATTTTGCAACAGATACGGTATACTACAAATGCTGTTGAGTTCTGTTTTGTTCTTAAACGGAAGTTGTAGTTCCATCGTGTCTCTCTTCCCAAAAAACAATAAGCACCTGGAAGAAGTTGGAAGGAACCCCGCAGACTTCACAGATGTTATAATTTATAGATGTGCAGCTTGTGCCAAACACTTTGCAGACTATTCAGATTGGAATGGCAACGTGGGAAACCATACAATTAAAATAAACAACAAAAGGAGTCAGAGAACAGAGCGGAGTGCAGAGCTGCCCAGTGCTGAAATCTTTGATCCGACTTTCGCGTTTGCCCGTAGTGCTGAATAATATACAGTCGCCCTTTTCACACCCATATTGCCAAATATTTAATGTGATTAGCATTTGTTTAGGCTACTTAGTGCTTGATTACTCTATTGTACTACATAATTGATATGGCGTAGGCCAATACCTCCACTACACTGCTTTGATATGCATCAGTGGGGATTAAGAAGTGAGTATATGTCTACACAATGCCCACTGAAAAAAACTGCCCTGCACTAATGTATAAGACTTGCCTCCAGTGCTTGGTATTCCCTCTCTCTGTTGTAGACTCCCCCTCTGCAACCCTCCTCCTCCTTCTCCACCGCTCCAGCTAACCTCTCTCCACCTCCCACAGGCAGCCTTGCACTCGGTGGCAGGCAGACTGAGCTTGGATCAACTCAGACCAATAGTTGTTCCTCTTTGATATGCTGGAACTCTGACTGATTTGCTGTTAGTTTCAGATTAGCTAAGCCTAGGGTTCTCTTTTATCAGGTTTTACAGGAACTGATCTGTGGTCAGTTTTAAATCAGCTTGGCTTTGTGCTTTCTCTCAGCTGCAACCCCTTGGAAATCTGATCTGGAAACAGTGTTTTTTTCCCCTCACGTTATTCCTCCGGTAGGGGATTCAGAAGATATCTGAGGCCACAGCGTATGGTCTTGCGCCACCAAGGCGGGCACCATGGTTGAAAGCCTGGACTTTGAGAAGGTGGAGAAGAGGTACTGCATCCGACAAAAACACGTGGCCCTCATCTGTGCTGTGGTGGTGGTGTCAGCTGTAGCTGTGGGGCTGGGGGTGGGCCTCACACAGCCCGACAGTACCCCGGCTGACCCGGCCCCCACCGAGGGACCCCCCAAGCCCACCTCCACCCCCCCAACAGCTGACAGGGGGCCTTGCAAGCCCTCCAACAACACTGACGGGGACTGGAAGAATTTCCGGCTGCCAGACTATGTGAAGCCAGTGCACTATGACCTCCACCTGGAGCCTGACCTGACCACTGACCTCTACATGGGGAGCGTGTCCGTGCACCTGGAGGTAAGCCGACCCACGAGGCACCTGTGGCTCCACATCCGGGAGACGTTCGTCAGCGCAGTCCCCAGGCTTGTCCTGAAAACCCCACAGGTTCAGAGGGACGTGACTGTGGCCATCAAGGGTTGCTTTGAGTTCAAACTGCAGGAGTATGTGGTAGTGGAGGCGGTGGAGGAGCTTGCGGCCACCAAGCCCAATGAGGTGTATGTTCTCACCCTGGACTTCCAGGGCTGGCTCAACGGATCTCTGGTGGGCTTCTACAGAGTCACCTACACAGAGAATGGGGCCACCAAGTAAGTCCTTTGAGGCATGCATTTGTGGTTCTAGATTGGGTGTATTTCAGTATGTTTTTGTGTGTCTCTATGCATGTATGCATTTTGGTACACCAGAAGTACATTCAGTTCCAATGGAACGCTGCATTTGACTTGCAGCATTGCGTTGCAGAGGCAGTTGCAGTGCGTTCTGTGTTCTGCATACGTTGGATATATATCCAACGTATGCATCAAATTGTATTCATATACTTGACAGAAATAGTAGCAAAAGGTGAATGTTGAACTTTTGTTGCACACATATAGTGTGAGTGTGTGCATCTGTGCTTGTTTGTGTGTGTATGCGTCTGTGCATGCGTGTGTGCGTGTGCACATGAGGCCCAGCAGCTCACTGGAAAATAATGTTATGAATGTTCGACATTATACCCTGATGAAGACAGCTTGTCTGTCGAAACGTTGGCTATTAGGTCATTCAATTATTGCATCTGCGCTCCTAGAGTGTTCGGCTCTCCTTTTATTTTTCAAGTGTTCTACTCCGTTAGCCAACACCTCGCCTAAATAGGTGTGCGTTTCTTTCGCCTCCATATGAATGTTAGACAGAAATAGTGGTTAAGACCGTTGGGCCAGTAACCAAAAGGTTGCTGATTCGAATCCCTGAGCCGGCAAGGTGTAAAAATCTGTCGTTCTGCCCTTGAGCAAGGCAGTTAACCCCCAACAACAACTGCTCCCCGGGTGCTGATGATGTGGACATCGATGAAGGAAGCCCCCCGCACCTCTCTGATTCAGAGGGATTGGGTTAAATGCGGAAAACACATTTCGGTTGAATGCATTCAGTTGCACAACTGACTAGGTATCCCCTTCCCTAGACAGAAATATTGTTCACTCTAGTAACTACTACTACTGCTGCTGCTACTATGACTACTACTAGTTGTAGTATGACAACGTGCAGGTTCTGATGGGATTGGCTCTGTCCCTCATTGGGGATTTCTAGCTTGGCAGATACACATGCTCTGCCAGTATTGTAGTCCCCTGTAGCTCAGTTGGTAGAGCATGGCGCTTGCAACGCCAGGGTTGTGGGTTCGTTTCCCACGGGGGGCCAGTATGAAAATGTATGCACTCGCTAACTGTAAGTCGCTCTGGATAAGAGTGTCTGCTAAATGACTAAAATGTAAATGTATTGCAAGTCCATTCTTGGAACAGGACAAGAAAGGGCAACTATTTAGACTAGTTTAGTATGCAAAATACCATCTGTTAGTACTTTATATCACACTACAGAGATTCTCCAAACAGGGGTGTAATGGGATGAAACCACTGAGGGAAAAATAAACCCAGGGAGTGCATTGATTCTTATCACTAATAGGACCATGGTTGAACCTCTGTTAGGTAAGAGTGTATCTGAAATGCCACAAGTCCATTTTTACCCGTCACAGTACGTTATCTGTTAAGTTGCTGTTATTCAAAGTTAAAATGATAGTGTTGATGATGTAGTGTAGTTTTTAGTGTGTCAATAAGTATGACTTGAAAGGTGGACAGGTGTAGGGAGCTACTTGCAGTATTGGCCATGAAGTGTCCATTTTCTCTTTGCTCAAGCACATTTAGCAGCCACATAACAGTAAACATTTCTGGTAAGCAACAGTTTAATAAAACGTCATATAAAGGGATGACATAGTCATGCCATGTTTATTTTTCTCCCAAGAAAAATTGCTGCCACTGACCATGAGCCGACAGACGCCCGCAAATCTTTCCCCTGTTTTGATGAGCCAAACCAAAAGGCCACCTACAAGATTTCCATCACCCACGACAAGGACTATGGAGCCCTCTCCAATATGCCAGTGGAGGTACAGTCTATGCAAGAAAATAAATTGCAACACATAAGTATTCATAGTAACAAATTATATAACATACTAAATAAATGCATATAATGTATGCACAATGTATCACAAAACAGGTGGCGCATAGTGTTACTGGTTAGTTTACTTGAAGCTGCATTGGGAGTCACAGAGAGAGTGAGGAGAGTGAGTGCCATGAATGCAAAAGCAGGAGCCATCAATCTTCTGCTCCGGGTCCTTGGGGCTGAGAACACAACCATAAGAGAGGCTGACTGACATCTTTATTAAACCATAGACCTTCTTCCTTTCCAGGGCGCCCCAGAGCTGCTTCCTGACAATAAGATCAAAACGTCCTTCCAGAGGTCCGTTCCAATGAGTACCTATTTGGTATGTTTTGCTGTGCACCAGTTTAAGTTTGTGGAAAGGAAATCGTCTAGAGGAATTCCTGTAAGTACTTGCAATTTTTCTCAGCAGTCATTTTCACTGGTCCCTCCTCCACCTTAAACTAAGAAAATATTTACTCTTTAACTGTTGAAAGTCATATTTTATAGTCTACAGAGTATATTGAGAGTAAATATTGTAACACTTTATTTAAAGCCTGTCCAGTTCAAAGTTTTAAATGGTGTAAAAGCTAAGTTAAAAGTTTATTTAACTTTGGTCTCCAATCTGTATCACAGCTGTTGGTCTTTTGTGTTGAGATTTCAGCAGTTAGTGACATTTTACAATGTAAATGTTTTGGAGAAAATCGAAAGAATTATAAATATTGCGTTGATTAAATGTAAACGCATGCATGTATGCACAGAGGCATGCTTGCACATACTGTAGTGTATACACACTCCCATAACTTACCTCAATAACTCTGCTTTTAAATCATTTTCTTCCAGTTGCGAATCTATGCACAGCCTGCACAAATTGCGACAGCAGAGTATGCTGCTAACACAACCAAGGTCATTTTTGACTACTTTGAGGAATATTTCAACATGACATACTCCATCCCAAAGCTAGGTAATTTCAGATCTCCTCTGTTTGTTAACTGTTGTAACTACTTTGGGAGGCCGCACTGGATACAATGAACTCATGATGCCTTATACACACATGCTTGCAATTTGTTTGTTTTTTTCTCAGATAAGATTGCCATTCCTGACTTTGGCACAGGGGCCATGGAGAACTGGGGTCTGATCACCTACAGGGAGACCAACCTCCTCTATGATGAGAACCAGTCGTCATCGTATAACAAACAAAGTGTGGCTAGCGTCATCGCTCATGAGCTGGTCCACCAGGTGAGAAAGTTCAAGAGTTATTCATTAGTCATGTTATAGTGGAAAACATCTTATAGTGGAAAATGAAAAATCATATTTAATAGTCATAGTCATAGAGCTCAATCACCCAAAAATTATATTATGGTATTGTGGCGATTTTAGCATGTACATTTTGGTCAGGCAAACAATGTTTTAATGCATGCCAGCAAAGCCACTACACAACACAACACTAAGCAATACATTAATTGCACTATAACGGTGACAGAAAAACTAAAAACGAACCTCGCAAAATCAACTGGAATACATTGGTCTATTACTGAACTATTTGTATGAAAACAAATATTTGAATGGGAAGAGACTGCCACTGGCAAACATGGTTACAGACCCAACAACATTATATAGTATCCTCTCCTCGTGTAGAAAAGCACGAGCTAATTTATGCAGCAGCAAACAAGACATTTTTGGACTCACCGTTGTTATCAAAGGTGCTTTCAACACATGCCGTCAGTGATCTTCAGGTCGGAGCTCTAGAAAGAGTCCAGAGTTCCCGGTTTGGAATTCAGAGTTGGAAACGTATTTTCCCAGTCGGAGCTCGTTTTTTTCAGAGTTCCCAGTTGTCTTGAACTCACTGAAGTCTGAGATTTCCCAGTTCCGAGTTTCCAGTTGTTTTGAACGCAGCAGAGGTCATGCTGGATTGACAGCATGACCAATGTATTCAACCTTTTCTGGCCCATGGTGTTGTGATTGAATGTTTATCCTTTTAAGCTTGGAAAAGAGACCATTTCAGATAGATGTTTTAAATCCTTAAACCCAGACTTGGACCACACACCCTCTCCACCGAATAGCAGACAGGCAAAGCAAAATAGTGATTGCTTTGCAACGCTTGCAGTTAGCCACTGATTCCTTCCAAACCACTCATTGTTGAATTTGCGATTTCCGACTTGTTGTGTAATGTTTATGTCCAATGGCCAATGAGCACCGATACCTTTTATCTATAATTTGTTGACGTGATTCATGATGATGACTGCTTGTCTAGCTTGCTAGCTAAGATTTAGAAAGTAACATTATCAGTCCAATCAAAGCTACGGTAGATATAACGTGATTTGACATCATTTTATCTGTGGCCAATGACCTTGATCCTTCTTGGATGGGCACTTCTAATGTAAATCTATGGCAGCACCCAAGGGGGCTTGAACTGCCTAGCTCTCCCTGTAGATTATGTGGTGACGTAGTGTCCCCATGAGTGACAGAACACTGAGCCAATCACGGCAGAACTAGAGAAGATTACCAACCCATATGCTTGGTATTTTCCGCTGGCTGCTCCACCACCACAGAAAGCACTGAGCTAGGCTGAAACATTTTGGAGCTGCCTTACACAAGAAGTAGACTGTTTGTATGCAGCTTTATTAACTCAATAAAACATTTTTTTTACATTGTTCACTAACTGATATGTGACATGAATTAATGCCAAAATAACATGCAAAACAGATAAAAAAATAAATATATATTTATACATTTTTAGCTAAACAGTTGCCCCATCTGCCCTGAATGACGGGTCGCCACTGACGGTATTGTGTCACAATGATGAAGCCTAAATTATGAGGGAAAAGTCATGAGGGACACGTTAGCGGCAAAACTCAAAGTTTGCAAAAGAGAACAACCCTATCTTTGTATCAATCAATAGCTTGGAATGGTTTGACATTGACCATGAATTTGGTCATGGGAACGATAGTGTTCTGTTGACGTACGTCAGCCCTCCAGTTATCCATCAAGCCTTTTATGATGTGCAATAATAAGGCCTCTTTGTTCTTTTTTGGACAATAAGAGGGTGATGGCGCTGTCCATAAAGTTTTATGAACTGTCCAAAGTCACAGGACCGAGGGGCAAGTGCGAGCTGGGTGCTGTTTCCTTGTTTCCACAGCCTGTTTACAGGAAGGTGAATATCAGCACAGTTGCAACCACATCCCAGAGTTACAACAAACATGTTCACAATGTGCAGTTCAGATAGTGATCCAGTCATAAATAAATAAAACACTCCTGTAATCCACCAGTAGCAATAAAAAAAAGCATGTATATCCACAGAAAAGCATAAGAGTATGTCATAAGAAAATTTGAAAAAGTGAAAGTAGCACTTGACTTTACTAGTAAATACCTGGTAAATACCCATAGAAACGATGTGGGTTTTATATGTTCATATTGTGTCTGTAACTTTGTTCTGTATTTTATGTTTTATACTGTATGCAGAGCTGTAGAGTGTTAAACTGCATGCTATGATATTTTGTGTGCATGAAAATATTGTGTTGTCGGAGTTGGAGCTTTGCCTGGTGTGTGTGTGTTTTTCTGTTAGTTTGTGTCCTTGGCTCACCTGCTATTTATGTGTCCAACTATCCTTGAGTCCCACTGTTGGCTGGAGTATCCAGAACACACATGCACTCACACACACATGCACACACGCCCACTCACCCATACAGACTTGTTTGGAAATAAAGTCAGCTGTAAGATAACTTTGCATGTTGTATTTTCCTGCAGTGGTTTGGGAACATTGTGACCATGGATTGGTGGGATGACCTTTGGCTAAATGAGGGCTTTGCCAGTTTCTTTGAGTACATCGGTGTGGAGAAGGCTGAGCCCCTCTGGGGAATGGTGAGTCCATCTGACAGATCCTGAATTGAGTGATTTGAAATGGAATTGCTTTAACCCCAACTCTGGTTATGAATACATTCTAAATCTACTTCGGTTCTGTCTTTACCAGCGTGACATCATGATCATCAGTGATGTACTTCCTGTCATGGTCGACGATGCTCTCGTCACCTCCCATCCAATCATTGTGGATGTATCAACTCCGGCTCAGATTACCTCTGTGTTTGATAGTATATCCTACAGCAAGGTCATCTTAAACTGTGCCCCTTTTCCCCCTACTACATGGGATGAAATAAAATATAATGAAATAAAATGTGTCTTTAAATTCATTCCAAACATCTTCCTGTAGGGGGCATCAATTCTCAGGATGGTGGAGGACTGGTTGGGCCGAGACAACTTCAGGGATGGCTGTCGGGTAAGAGTCCATTTAATTTGACGTAAAGTAGATAGAAGCATCCCTACACCAAGTCTCTTGATTTCTATTCAGTCAATAGCAGAATAATTTGTTAATAGCGAGTGTTAGGGAGATGCAATCCCTTCCCTGTTGAATGGAAATTATGATTACTGTCAGACACTTTACCATGGTAATACTTTACTTTATAATTTGAAAGGGTCATAGCAATATATAGCCTAAATTGTATTTATCATTACATCTATGGATGGCCACATTGGTACATTTATGGTAACCTGTTTTCCTCTCCCTTCAACAGAAATACTTGAAAGATTTCCACTTTCAGAATGCCAAAACAGCCAACTTTTGGGCATCCCTTGCTAATGTATGTTTGTCATAACTAATTTGGTCATAGTAATTTCAAAATATCTAAGTTGTTGATATTATTGATAATATTTCACTGCATCTAACTTAGTATTCTTATGTGTATGATAAACACTAACATTTTTGGTTTGCAGGTGAGTGGGTTGCCTGTAGCAGATGTGATGGACACATGGACCACACAGATGGGCTACCCAGTACTGGACCTGTCCACCATCGGCACTCAGACCAAACTCACTCAGCGAAGATTCCTGTTGGACCCCAATGCTAACACCACCCAGCCACCCTCACCACTCAGGTCAGTGATTCACCGCACTATTAAATCCCTTTGTGATCATTGGTTGATTTCCCCATGGAATTCAGCTAAATTTATTAGGAGAAACCGGTAAATCCTAAAAGGGCTATGCTTTTATTTTAGTTACAAGTGGAACATCCCTGTTAAGTGGTACTCAGTGGATAGTAATAAGTCTATTTCCATCATGTTCAACAAGTCCAGTCCAGGTAAAGATACTTCTGACCAAATCCTAGACTTGACCTTTTTAACATTACAGTTCCAGACTCTGGTAACATCATGTATTTAGTCAAATTGAAGTCATACATGTTTGTGTGTCATACAAATAGAGCTAGTCTTAGCTGGCTATTCCCCTGCTACGGATGGACTCCTGAAGGTCAACAATGACCACATTGGATTCTACAGAGTCAATCACCCTGACAGCATATGGAGCACCATTAGTCAACAACTCCAAACAAATCACCAGGTAATATAATTTAAACTGCTACTATAGTATCAGATGTAATATTAATAGTTTTAATCTTACCAGTTCATAGGTTAAACCTGTAGTAATCGGCATGACACTTTCTTTACTAGGAGTTAGACGCTGCTGACCGATGCAGTTACATTGATGATGTCTTTGCTCTGGGAAGGTAAATAAACACTGCTGACATTTACTTGAAGTACATCTGTCAATATAAAACTGAAATTAAACATAATGTATTTTTCTTATCGGCCTCATCAGGGCAGACGTTGTCGATTATGGAAATGCATTCAACCTGACAAAATACCTGACCAATGAGACTGAGTACATTGTCTGGAAACGTTTGTCTTCTTCCATCGCCTATGTGCAAGACATGTTATCAGATGACACTGTTCTTTACCCCAAATTCCAGGTGAGTCAGTTGTTGTTTTTTTACAGGTGAATTCTGCCCTCTGCTGGCCAACTAGAACACACATACACACACACACACACACACACACACACACAAAATAATAATCTTGTGAGTTTGCTCACACATTGGGTGTCACTTACTTTCCCTACAGAAATTATTCCGTGAGCATGTGCAGACTATCTCCAGGACACTGGGATGGTACGATGTGGGAAGCCAGAGAGATAGGTAAGACTAGGAGAGACTGTCTACTGTATTTGACAGATCATGGGTGTATTTGCTGAATATTGATCATAAACGGTATTGTCTATATTGGTTTTGTATAGGCTGTTGCGTGAGACAGTCCTGGACATTGCTTGTAAAATGGGAGACCAGGAAGTGCTAATTGAGGCATCTGCTATCTTTGACCAATGGATCGCAGGAACCATCAGGTAAATACAGTATTAGTCTTGACTTTTGAATAAAATCACTAAAATGACACATTATCTACTTACTAATCCATCTGCCGTACATGGACATAACTAACTACTTTATTAGCATTCCTATTCCTAAAATCCCGTTTATCCCTCTAAAGCCCAAATGGTAACATGACCTTTGACCTCCAGCACTGTGGGGGTGAACCTGCGCTTGCTGGTGTATCGCTATGGCATGAAGAACTCAGGCACCGGGGCGAAGTGGAATGTAATGTTTGAGAGGTACAAAACAGAGACCTTGGCCCAAGAGAAGGACAAGCTCCTGTATGGATTGGCATCTGTGGAGAACGTCACTCTTCTGAATAAGTAAATAAAAAACAATAATTCTCTTCATATATCATTTTTACAAGCATTATTCAAAATCACTGTTTAATATAATCCAGTGAAAAGTTATTACTAGATCGAGAGTACATTTATTGGCGAAAGTGTGATACTTTTTTTCTGGCAATATTTTAGTTTGTTCAGTTAGATATGGCTTAAGAGAATGGTGCTGAAGATAACGGTGTTGGGATGTTTTACAGCTTACTGGAGGCATGTAAAGATGAGAGTATTGTGAGGACTCAGGATCTGTTCACTGTGGTCCGCTATGTCTCTCTGAACCGCTACGGCAAGACCATGGCCTGGGACTGGGTCATCCTCAACTGGAACTACCTAGTGAACAGGTGAGCCCATTCTCTGAGTCTGAATGGAGAGTCACTGAGCCCAGAGTCATTGAAGAGATAGTGACTACATGGAATGCGAGGCTGTAAGTCAATTGACTGAATCAGCAGCAACTGAGCCTAGAGTTAATGAGTCGCGAATACTGTGACAGTTTCAATTTCCTTTTGTTTTGTTACAGATACACCATCAATGACAGGAACCTGGGACGCCTGCTAACCAGAATCAGCACCACCTACAACACAGAGCTACAGCTGTGGCAGGTTAGGACAGTGCCCTTCTACTCATAGAACTGGAATAATTCAATCTAATATTAAACAACTTAAAATCGAGACAAGCACTGGTGTGCTCGAATTTAAGATTGACTGATCTATGTGGATTGTGCCTTTAGACTGTGGCTGTGTTTATGACTGACTGTGTGGTTGTGTTTTAGATGGAGCACTTTTTCAAGCTGAACCCTAATGCCGGAGCTGGGGAGATGCCTAGGCAGCAAGCTCTAGAAACAGTGAAGAACAACATTGAGTGGGTCAGGAGGAACAAGGCAGAGATCAGCTCATGGCTGGAGAGCAACTTCACTTACTGATGACATCAGGTCAACACTAAAGTACTGTAAACCTAATCCAAATCACAATCCTTCATGCAGTTTCCACTCATTCATTCAACGATAGTGATAGATCATGCCACAGGACTGCCTGTTTCTAAATCAAGTGTCAAGTCCCTCTATCCTGGACACGCTGCTGTGCAACTCAAACACACTTCTGAAGGGCAGAAATACTCTATCTGAAATGACTGAATTCCGGCCAGTAACTCAGCAGGCTACTTTCTCTTTACTCTAGTGGAAAAAATGTACAGTACTTAATGCCTTTCCTGCATTACATATAAAAATATGTTTTTGATGCACAAATATTTAATTTCGTATGAAGTGCTTGTACAGAATTTCAGATGTCGTATCTAAATAACCATTATAACTTTTAATCTCGGGTCAGGTATGTTGATTTATATGTATAAAAAAATATTTCAATATTATATTTCAAACAATGAAAAGTGTAAAAATGTATAAGAAATAAAGAAGAGTGTATATGCACTTACTGTGAATACTGCAGTCTGGATGAGTGTGTTGCCACAGGGAAGAACATTTAGAAAGCAGAATGTCGTACACCGAAACATACTTTGTTAGTTTATGCTAATATTACAGTAAAGTAAAACACATCTGGAAGACAATGGCTATGTCATAAAATAAGAATTTACATGAGTAACCCCAACATATCAAAATACATCCCAGTTAATATACAGTGAGGGAAAAAAGTATTTGATCCCCTGCTGATTTTGTACGTTTGCCCACTGACAAAGAAATGATCAGTCTATAATTTTAATGGTAGGTTTATTCGAACAGTGAGAGACAGAATAACAACAAAAAAATCCAGAAGAACACATGTCAAAAATGTTATAAATTGATTTGCATTTTAATGAGGGAAATAAGTATTTGACCCCCTGTCAATCAGAAAGATTTATGGCTCCCAGGTGTCTTTTATACAGGTAACAAGCTGAGATTAGGAGCACACTCTTAAAGGGAGTGTTCCTAATCTCAGCTTGTTACCTGTATAAAAGACACCTGTCCACAGAAGCAATCAATCAATCAGATTCCAAACTCTCCATCATGGCCAAGACCAAAGAGCTCTCCAAGGATGTCAGGGACAAGATTGTAGACCTACACAAGGCTGGAATGGGCTACAAGACCATCGCCAAGCAGCTTGGTGAGAGGGTGACAACAGTTGGTGCGATTATTCACACCAACTGGGGCTCCATACAAGATCTCACCTCGTGGAGTTGCAATGATCATGAGAACGGTGAGGAATCAGCCCAGAACTACACGGGAGGATCTTGTCAATAATCTCAAGGCAGCTGGGACCATAGTCACCAAGAAAACAATTGGTAACACACTACGGCGTGAAGGACTGAAATCCTGCAGTGCCCGCAAGGTCCCCCTGCTCAAGAAAGCACATATACAGGCCCGTCTGAAGTTTGCCAATGAACATCTGAATGATTCAGAGGAGAACTGGGTGAAAGTGTTGTGGTCAGATGAGACCAACTCGGAGGAGGAATGCTGCCTATGACCCCAAGAACACCATCCCCACCGTCAAACATGGAGGTGGAAACATTATGCTTTGGGGGTGTTTTTCTGCTAAGGGGACAGGACAACTTCATCGCATCAAAGGGACGATGGACGGGGCCATGTACTGTCAAATCTTGGGTGAGAACCTCCTTCCCTCAGCCAGGGCATTGAAAATGGGTCGTGGATGGGTATTCCAGCATGACAATGACCCAAAACACACGACCAAGGCAACAAAGGAGTGGCTCAAGAAGAAGCACATTAAGGTCTTTGAGTGGCCTAGCCAGTCTCCAGACCTTAATCCCACAGAAAGTCTGTGGAGGGAGCTGAAGGTTCGAGTTGCCAAACGTCAGCCTTGAAACCTTAATGACTTGGAGAAGATCTGCAAAGAGGAGTGGAACAAAATCCCTCCTGAGATGTGTGCAAACCTGGTGGCCAACTACAAGAAACGTCTGACCTCTGTGATTGCCAACAAGGGTTTTGCCATCAAGTACTAAGTCATGTTTTGCAGAAGGGTCAAATACTTATTTCCCTCATTAAAATGCAAATCAATTTATAATATTTTTTACATGCGTTTTTCTGGATTTTTTTGTTGTTATTCTGTCTCTCACTGTTCAAATAAACCTACCATTAAAATTATAGACTGATCATGTCTTTGTCAGTGGGCAAACGTACAAAATCAGTAAGGGATCAAATACTTTTTTCCCTCACTGTATATATATATATATATATATATATATATATATATAAAAACATGGGGGATTGGAAGTGATGCAGACAATTACATTGATGGAAGTTACAATCTATCTGCAATATTAAGCTGATCTACCCCCAAAAAATATATATATATATATTTTTTAAAGGGACGATGGACGGGGCCATGTACCGTCAAATCTTGGGTGAGAACCTCCTTCCCTCAGCCAGGGCATTGAAAATGGGTCGTGGATGGGTATTCCAGCATGACAATGACCCAAAACACACGGCCAAGGCAACAAAGGAGTGGCTCAAGAAGAGGCACATTAAGGTCCTGGAGTGGCCTAGCCAGTCTCCAGACCATAATCCTACAGAAAATCTGTGGAGGGAGCTGAAGATTCGAGTTGCCAAACGTCAGCCCCGAAACCTTAATGACTTGGAGAAGATCTGCTAAGAGGAGTGGGACAAAATCCCTCCTGAGATGTGTGCAAACCTGGTGGCCAACTACAAGAAACGTCTGACCTCTGTGATTGCCAACAAGGGTTTTGCCACCAAGTACTAAGTCATGTTTTGCAGAGGGGTCAAATACTTATTTCCCTCATTAAAATGTAAATAAATGTATAACATTTTTGTCATGCGTTTTTCTGGATTATTTTGTTGTTATTCTGTCTCTCACTGTTCAAATAAACCTACCATTAAAATTATAGACTGATCATGTCTTTGTCAGTGGGCAAACGTACAAAATCAGCAGGGGATCAAATACTTTTTCCCTCACTGTAGAAGCATCTACACTACATGACCAAAGGTATGTGGCCACCTGCTCGTTGAACAAGTTTATGTTAATGCAACTGGCCTCTGGTCATTAATCAATATGTCAATGGTCTATGTTAATTTTTCCACATTACAGCCTTATTCTAAAAAATTTCAATTTTTTTTGTTTCTCATCAATCTACACACAATACCCCATAATGACAAAGCAAAAACAGGTTTGTAGAAATTGGTGCAAATGTATTAAAAATAAAAAAACAGAAATATTACATTTACATACATTTTCAGACCCTTTACTCAGTACTTTGTTGAAGCACCTTTGGCAGTGATTACAGCCTTGAGTCTTCTTGGGTATGACACTACAAGCTTAGCACACCTTTATTTGGGGAGTTTGTCCTATTCTTCTCTACAGATCCTCTCAAGCTCTGTCAGGTTGGTGGGGAGCGTCGCTGCATAGCTATTTTCAGGTCTCTCCAGAGATGTTCGATCGGGTTCAAGTCCGGGCTCTGGCTGGGCCACTCAAGGACATTCAGAGACTTGTCCCAAAGCCACTGCTGCGTTGTCTTGGCTTTGTGCTTAGGGTCGTTGTCCTGTTGGAAGGTGAACCTTCGCCCCAGTCTGAGGTCCTGAGCGTTCTGGGGCAGGTTTTCATCAAGGATCTCTCTGTACTTCGCTCCGTTCTTCTTTCCCTCTATCCTGACTAGTCTCCCAGTCCCTGCCACTGAAAAACATCCCCACAGCATGATGCTGCCACCACCATGCTTCAACGTAGGGATGGTGCCATGTTTCCTCCAGACATGAAGATTGGCATTCAGGCCAAATAGTTCAATCTTGGTTTCATCAGACCAGAGAATACTGTTTCTCATGGTCTGAGAGTCCCTAGGTGCCTTTTTCGTCTCTTGCCGAATTGTGCATGTGCAAGCCATCAAAGAAAATGAAAACGTGTCAGTTTGGGGTTTGAGAAGTCAGAGAGAAGTGAACAATTATTTCTTAGTTGTTAATTTTCTCGAGATCTAAAGGCACAACCTAGATTCGAGCCAATGCCTTAGGAAGATGAACATGTTATTACTCCAACCTTGTGAAAGTGACAAACTGACACGTTTTCATTTTCGTCAAAAACAACTATATATATCGAAGGAGTGCCTTTGATTTGACGGTCTGCACATGCGCAGTTCGGTGTGAGACGACCGTTAGACACGATGACGTGTTTATACGCATGAGCTTCGATAAACAACGTCGCCATGACATCACGTTCAAGTCTGATCGGGGATTTCTGTAGGTGAAGCAGTTCTTTTTCCTGTACTACGGTCTTTGACTCAATGTTGTTGCTAGCAAATCCCTTGACCAGTTATCAAAACTCAACTCAGCCTCGATATAAGAGAACGTTGAGCGTTCCTCAGTTAAAAATTTTCTCTAACACTAAACATAAAAATATGTATTTACAGTCATAAGGAAAGTGAAATCTTATAGTTAGTCATTTTATAATTTGATTATACTATATTTAACATGCATATACGTCATTTCAAGCCTTATCATACAGTTTTGTTGAATAGGAAATACATCTTATAAAATATTACATATTTTCGTATTTTTATCATATTTGTAAGTTACTGTACTTGAGCTTGTGTCTTCAAAAGTGACTACCAGAAAAGTAATATTTTAACCTTTCTTGGAGTATGCAACATTACTAGTTATTGTTTATGGCCCTCATGATAAATAATTACTTTTGGGGATTAAGCATATTATATTTTAGATTACATTTAGTTAAATGTAACTGGTTTAAACTTTTTTAAACCATTTAGCTGTATTCTCTTTGAGAACTTCTTGTTCCTCGCAGCTCATTTTTCCCATTAATAAGTCCCTCCTTCTTCTTCTGTGGGTTTTATGGCAGAATACAACCCCAAAAGGTGTATTGCAGCCACCAACTCGACAGGTTGAAAAAACAAGGTAAAAAGAAAATCCATATGTGATAGGAAAAACGAACTTAATCCACCCAAATCGACAAAAACAAAACAAAACTCCCACTTCTTCCTTCCTTCAAATCTCCATATCTCCCTTCTCAGGCTCTAGGGCCTGAGAGGGTGGTACGGCTTGTGACAATACTCCATGCAAGTCCTTTGCCGAGAAATCTTTCAGTCCCAGGAACCGCTCCGCCGCATCCACAATTATATCTATTTTCCTGGACCTTCTGTCCACCTTGGCAGTGCCATTAATCACCATAGCTATAAAGGCCACCTTCTTAACCTTTAAAATATCTGGGTCCTGCTGTTGAAAGGCAACCCCTGCAGCCTGCAGTAAAGGCCTATCCACCACCATGGACTCTTCAGTTGCACCATTCAAACCCTCAACCCTTTTAACAGCCGCTGCATATTAAGTTTTCTGGACAGCTCTGACTTTGGCCACCTCATTCTCTTTCAACCTTGTCGGGCATTCCAAATACGTGGCTTCATGGTTCCCATCACAATTGCAGCATGTCGCATTTCCATCACTTTTAATACACATGACATTATCTTTTCCACAACTTTGACATCTCGGCTTCTCCCTTCTGCAAACACTTGAAACATGTCCAAAAGCTTTACAGTGATTCATCCGACGTGCATCAATCACTCCAATAATATTTTTCATCTCTTCAACATCGATTTCCCACGAGATTCCAGATATTACCTCCTTGACGGGTGCCCTGTTCCGAAGAGACATACACGACGCGTCAAACTTCTCAACTTGGGTGAGACGCAACACACGTTCCTTCTTGTTCTACTTCTACTTCTGTGTATTTTATATGGCGGTTGGCAACCAACTTTAAGGTGCATTATCGCCACCAACTGAACTGGTTTTGACAGTGAAGGTCTAAATCCTACCCAATAATCTCGTCTCCCTAAGGAAACAAAATACATAATTAAATACTACATCCCCTGAAGATTTCCCCAGCAGTTCACTTAATCCTGGCTCTTCAACCCCATTACTCCTCAAATCTAATAACAATCGGCCACTTTCTCTCACATATTTCTGGCACTGAAATAGTGAAGGCTGTGAGGATCATGATAGGCGGGCTTGTTTTGATCATTGTCTCCTCCTGACAATGATCACACCACTTTCAATGTACTATTTAGCCTTGTGTGTCCCAGTCTCAGCCTTGTGACTACACTTTCCTCCCTTCTCTCTTGGCCTGAGGACCTCCCTGCCCCCACCTTTTCCTGGATCTTATACAGGTGTCTTCCCTTACTCTCCCTGTTCCACAACTCTTGCCACTTATTTTTAACCACTGTTCTTATTAATCCCTTGGCTTCTGCTTTACTGATTGACAATTCCATCTCAACATTAGGATGATCCGCAGAAGTACAAAAACTCAAAACAAGCCCGCCTATCGTGATCCTCACAGCCTTCACTTTACCCAGTACTCTCCACCAGTTTGGATATCTCAAATGGATATTGGTAATCCGATCAGCTGCTCCTCATTAACAAACTGTACTCCTACAAGATACGAAGGGACATTCTCAACACTGTACACTGCTTCGCTCCGTTTCCCATTCTTTTGGACAATATTCCAATTCTCCTTGATTCTACCGCCATTAGATTCACAATCCACATCAGCTTCCGCTATCTTTTCCAGAAGTCCCTCCCTTCACTAAGGAGCCAATGAATGAGCACGTTCTGGTCGTATGAATAACCTGAGCCCAATTACGTGATCAGTACAGTGTGTTTACAGAAAGTACACCAGCTGCAAGAAAAAACGGTCAACTTGAAATAGACCAGATTCACAAAGAGACCAAGAGGGTGAGCCTATTTACTTCATTATTTTACAAGTTCTTCACAAAAAGTGTGCTTTTCGGGTTTAAAAAAGTGATGAATGCCAGCACATGCTGCTGATTATAGCGACTGCAAGATGTAAATTACTGTTTTGGTCGCTAGCTAAATTAGCTCATACAAGCCAAACTAGCTAGCAAATTAGCTTGTTAGGGCAGATGCTTAATGATAGCTATCTATCAAACTGTGAGGATTACATTTTATGTATGATTTGGAGAGCTAGCTACTATATGAATTAGCAAATTAGATTGCTTACCATAGATGTCTGCCTTATTGGTCCTTATTGATTCCCTGTTTAGATCCCTCCATTCAACACCTCCAAAATGAGACTTGTGATCCTGGAGGACTATGACCTGGCCAGTGAATGGGCAGCCAAATACATCCGCAACAGAATCATCCAGTTCAAGCCCAGTGCTGACAGATACTTCACCTTGGGATTACCCACAGGTAAACTTTGGTTGATTTGCAGATAGAATAAGTGTATCTGGTAATTACTGTAACTTGCCAGGGACTAAATGTTAGTTTACATGTAGGTATGTAAGTATCATCCATGTCCCTCTCTTTTAGGAAGCACTCCTTTTGGCTGTTACAAAAAGTTGATAGAGTTTCACAAGAATGAGGAACTCTCTTTCAAATATGTGAAGACCTTCAACATGGATGAGTATGTGGGTGAGTTTGAGCCTACAGGTACAAATTACGCTCCTAACCACAGACGGGATCAGAATTTCTTAGCCCAAGCCAAACCCTTAGTAACAGCAAAGGGTAAAAATCAAACTGACCCTGTATGATTTTTGGGGTGTAATAAAGTAGGGACGTAGAATCAGTGGTGTAGCCTTGCAGGAAGAAAGAATCTGCCCGCTCAGCTCATTTATAACCTTAGGAAGTGGGAGGTGACGTTGGCTGCTACTGGGAGTTTAGCTGACATGGCTGGATTTCAGTAGCAGAGTGATTGAAACTGGCGTTTGTTTTTGCTTTAGTCTTTAAAAGCAAGAATGTCACAGTTATGTCCCTCTGCCTCAAAAGTCCCAACTTTCTTCTGTTTTAGCAAATTGGTAAGCTGCAGGCAATTAAGTAAAAACAACCTTGCTTACCGATTCATCATCTCCATCTTATTGCATATGCCTTTATACTCCCTTTCTATCAGCAATGATGAGAAAATGTCTTGCTTTAACCTGTCTTTCCTACCAAATCAAAGCTTATTTGTTAGCCTATATGCACAGGCTACAGCATAGTGTACACAGTACAATTAAATGCTTATTTGCAAGCTCTCCTCTCAAACAGTGTAACTGTTGTTTTTATATATAAGCAAGAAAAGCACAAAAGAACACTGTTATAGAACTTGTAAGAAATATAACTATAGTAAGAAAAACACTTACTTATCATAGGCCTGCCCCGGGCCCACCCAGAGAGCTACCACTCCTACATGTGGAATAACTTCTTCAAGCACATTGACATCGATCCAGCTAATGCCAATATCTTGGATGGCAATATCACTGACCTGGAAGCAGAGTGTGAGGCCTTTGAGAAGAAGATCGCCCAGGCTGGGGGAATCGACCTGTTTGTGGGAGGTTCGTTTTTATACTTGCATGCATGCTTGTGGCGTAAATGTATTTTAATGTGTTTTAACACCTCAAGTACAGAAGAAACATTCAGAGACGACCCGCAGTGTGTTTTTATTTTAGCTGCAATTGATTTAATTTGGGTCCAAAGTCTCAGGGCTACCTTTATGTTAATGAAACTGGCCTCTGGTCATTAATCCATTTGTTAATGGTCTATGTTCATTAAACGAGCCAATGACTTAAAGGAAAATTCCACCCTAAAACGATCTTTTGGTATTTGTTTCATTAGTCCATTGTTGATATAGTCCCAAAATGTTTTGCAATCAAGTTTTCAAGATACACTACATGACCAAAAGTATGTGGACACCTGCTCATCGAACATCTCATTCCAAAACCATGGGCATTAATATGGAGTTGGTCCCCCCTTTGCTGCTATAACAGCCTCCACTCTTCTGGGAAGGCTTTCCACTAGATGTTGAAACATTGCTGCGGGGACTTGATTCCATTCAGCCACGAGCATTAGTGAGGTTGGGAACTGATGTCGGCTGTATTTGTATTTTGAACGTTTTATAGCTTGATAACTTGATTGCTGACATTTTGGAACTATGTCAACAATGGACTAATGAAACAAATACCAAAATATAGTTTTTGTGAGTAATTCTCTCTCAAGGTATCGGACCAGACGGCCACATTGCCTTCAATGAGCCAGGCTCCAGTCTAGTCTCCAGGACCAGAGTGAAGACTTTAGCCAAGGATACCATCGTAGCCAATGCCCGTTTCTTTGGAAACGACCTGTCAAAGGTCCCCACCATGGCCTTGACTGTGGGTGTGGGGACAGTCATGGATGCCCGAGAGGTAAAGAGGTCTTAACAGTATATTTATCCATTTGTCTGTTCATCTATTTTCATGGCACAGATAGTTTTACACTATGTAGACACAAGAAACTTTAATTAATTAACCTAATGTAGGAGTACTCATTTTCTTTACATAAGCTAACTTGTGTTGCAATTATGAATGTGTTCATTACATGACTCTTGTGTCAATAGATGTTTCAATTTTAATGATGTTATATTGATTGTGTTTGTTTGTTTTAGGTTATGATTCTCATCACGGGAGCCCACAAAGCCTTTGCCCTGTACAAAGCAATAGAGGAGGGGGTCAACCACATGTGGACCGTCTCAGCCTTCCAGCAGCACCCACACACCATCTTTGTGTGTGACGAGGACGCCACACTGGAGCTCAGAGTCAAAACAGTCAAGTACTTCAAAGGTAAGCATGGAATAGGATAGGGTTTAGGTTTAGTATAAAGGAAATTGGTTACAACAAATGATCGTGCACTTTGATACTGGCCAGTTGGTAAGTATTACCTACTTAACACATTTTCCCTTAATTGTTAATTTCCCTCCAGGTTTGATGCATGTTCACAACCGACTGGTGGACCCAGTGCTCAGCATAAAGAACCAATAATGGAGAATGAAACCAAGTCAGAGAATTCCAGACCTCAAAATGGTGGATGGACCCAGAGTTGTTGGTAGGCTACAACCAGCATGACAATGTGCCAGAGAGATTGTTTGTCAGCACTTCAGTTGAGGGGCTATGGTTTAAGGCTGCCATAACAACTACCCAAGCATTACAGTGCATGAAATTTGCTCAGTTTGTTACATTGCATTAGGGTACTATGAAGGCTAACTGTAAATGCCCCTCAGCTGATATGTTATAGATGCCATGAATTCTCACACACAACTGTTACCAATATATTATGAGGTCAGACTCTTTGCAGTATTAGTCTCAAACAGATTTATTTGCCTTTTTGACTCCTCTTCTTTCTTCCATCTGCACAATCTAGAGACGGGATGGAGGAAAGCAAAATGCTTAGACCAGGTCAGATGAAGGAAAGGAGATGCGTTATCAAATAAATCCACTTTGGGTTGTTGAGACCTGTTTAACAGGGAAACATACAACACTATAGTTCCTTTACACTCCATTCCATGTCATTCGTAGCTTTGAGCGCTCCATAGATTTGTTTACCTGACAGTCAGTTATACTTGCCAAGTTGCCACCGCAGTGATATACATTCAATATACTGTCTTTTGTATTTCTATCTGAAATGTAATTCTTGGCCATATTTTATGCTCTCACAAGATTGTTACGGCAATCATTTGATGTCAAGGCATCATGTTAACTTTTCAAACATCTCCAATCAGTCATTCCTTTAATTTTTTTTTCTTTTGTGGTTTTGTAGAACATTCTACCAGAACAAGTATGTTTTCAATTCATTGTAACTAAATTTTCCTGAAATACTGGGCTAAGAAGATTACTGAGTCTTTTTTAGAAATTGATTTTGCACATACTGTACTGTAACTCTCATAAAAGTGCTTTATACCGGCTGTATTTTGTACTTTGAAAGTTATGTATCTTGAAAACTTGATTGCTGACATGCAAAACATTTTGGGACTAAATCAACAATGGACTAATGAAACAAATACTATATTTAGTGTTACTTATTCAGAGTTGTATACTCAGGAGTCAGATTTAGGTGGCTATTCCCAACCTTTTATGGATAGGGGACAGTATATAATCTAGTACAAATATTGAGTTTTAAGAGTTTTACAATCACGCAAATAATGTCATTTAACTGGAAGCCATGATACACAGGGGAATGAAGGCAACACTGTTGGGAGTGAAATATTAATTTCTAGTCCCACTGTTGTACACTAGGTGTCACTCTCTACTAAGATACAAAATCAGAGGAACCAGTACCAATTGATGAGATGAATAGTATACCATTTCTTCACACCATCGTGCTCATCTGAACTGTAGCATGGCTCCAGAAACTATAGTGGATGCTTAACCAGGCCAGCACAGTACGACTTGGTTCGGTAAACATTCTCTATAGCTTTTCCTTCACTTTGAAAGCGTGGAGTAGGTATTGCATAGATTTTTGTTTTGAGATGTCTTTCTACACAGTTAGCTTTAGATTGGTCTGCATTAGTTCTATCCAGTTTATGCTTATTACCAAGGCGTCTACTAGCAAAACACTTTACGCTGTAAATTGATTACACCACCTCTTCATCCATGGTGTTGTTTGAATCTTAGCTAGAAACCTGCCGCCGCTAGCATAGCATAACCAGATTGTCTCCCTCTGTCAAGGTTTTCACAACTGTAAAACTACCAGACAGATTCCAAGGACAGGTTGATATTTCCAGTTTACTGATTAAGACATGTCTGCTGCATTAACATTGCTATTGGCTAATCTGATTTAATCTGGTCCTACGTAAAACACTAATTCTGTAAAAATATATACAAATAAAAATCACAGTCTGCATCACAGTTGTAAACTAGCCCTGTGGTAACTTTAACTAAGTATGTCATTTCTGATGTTGATTACATTTGACATATGTAAATACAAAGTCATTGCTTTATTATTATTATTATGCAGAGCTTAATTACCCAGCCCGCAGAATGACAACAAGGAGTCAACCTCCTCTGCTCTTTGTTTGTGTGCAAATAGAATGATCTGACAATTTGTTCTGCTTGATGTTAATGGATTTTCCTCAGTATGTAAAATTAAGGTGCTGTTAACCAGTAAAGTTAGCCAAAACCCCCAGGGAATTTACATAATAGAGAAGCCTAAACTGTATCCATCATCAAGCAGTGCCATCCCTCTGCTTAAACAGTCACACCAACGGAGTCTGTTGATCCTATGGATTTAGGCCACTTATACCCATAGCAACTGGACCAGAGTCAGTTTTGTGGTGCAACTCACAATTTCTTAGATTTGGAGAGCGAGTGTTTAGGAGAGGGACTGTGAGTTTTGTACACAGGGAGTTGGAAGAATTTACCCTAAATCAGTTGTTAAGGGCCACAAATAACTCCATCAAGTCCATGACAGGATGAGGATCACCTGATCAATTGCCCACTTGACCACCCCTTTCATTACCGCCGCCTCTGTTTGGTTGTGCCGAGTGGCTCTTTGCACAGAATATCATGTGATACCCAATGTTCTAACATCCCATTTGGGCTTTAGGTCTTTGCTTTGGCAGTAAATGGAAATAAACCGCCACTAATGGAGAGGAAAATTGCCTGTCAGTTGCTAACCGACACTCTCAGTAAAGCAAATGAGTGTGCTAAACTACCCAATTGGGGCAGAATAGCAATGAAAGCACTAATCAATATAATCTGAAGACAAACAGTGATACATTTGCAATGTATGACAGCTTGTCAGTAGCCTGTGGACTTTTATTCAGACCAAATGACTGAAAACCCCATTCAGTGTATGGGACTTGCTAGGTTTTCCCTCTAATCTAGTGTAAGATTAAGGAAAACACAGAGGACATGTGGGCCTTGTGTTTCCTCTTTGATGAACATTGACTTTGATACTTGAACGCAACCCACGTAGCTTCCCTCACTCTCTGTCCATCTGCAAGGTTTCCAACACCTCTAGACTGTAGACAGCTTCAGTGCTGTGTGGGAAGGGCTGCCTAATCCATTTCTTAGGGTTCAATGTAGATCCAATCAATCACACCCACCATATAAATATTTATGCACTATCTTTGTGTACTATTAAAATCTTCATCCCTGAGTTAATCGTGTTTGTGTGCATGTTTATGTGTATTTGTGTATCTCACCCTGTGTATGTGGGTAGTCGAATTTATTGGATGTGAGCACTGCTTAAAAGATCCACAACAAAGAATGGGGCAATCCTCCTGTCTGGCGGCAGTGAATCAAGGCTCTGACTGGATAGTCTGTTACTGCTCCAATGATCAAAGACGACACTGACCGTATCTGACATAGCAATGAAACTCCTCTGACCCACACTCTCCCCGCTGCTACCCCAACACCCCGATCAATACCTACTCCCAGGGAGATATTTGACTCTTGAGACCCCCCAAAAAAGAAAAATATGGATCCACGATGTAAAGTATTCAACAGAAAACCAATGTATTCTATCTCTTGTAGAAATACAAATGTTTCACCCCGTTCAAGCTTCATCAGTGTCAAGCAACAAATTGTTGCAAAAAGCCATTTCTCATTAGAGATAGGTGGTTATTAGTTTGTATGACTCTGACTTGTGGTTTGAAAAGAAAAGCGAGAACTAGAAACAAAAAAATATTTTTTTTATTCCACAATTATTTATATTTTAAGTGGAAATTGTCCTCTATAGCGGTCATTAGGACGTAAATATAAAAACATTAACACTACAGTCAATGGGTACAGTAGGTGAAAAACATAGTTGCAGCATACGGGTTTCCACTACAGAGGACATTTCTTGATAAGCTCTTATTTAGCTCTTATTTAATGTGAAAAAATTATTACACAGTCCTGACAACTCACTTAACTATTCCTGAGATATTCACTTACTAGAAACAATTTGAATATCGAAAATTATAATTAATAAATTACACACACTTATTTTCAAATTTCCATAAAATTTGCTAATTTGGACGGCAGCCCTTTTTTAAAGAACCAGGAAGATAATGTTGTCAAGGTCACATCCCCACACGTAATATCATTGAAAATCCCAGAGTGTCCTCTCAAAGGGACAACAGGACTTAATACAGTGGCTTGTATGCCTCAGAGATACGGCCCAATAACTAATGTCTACTAGATAGGACAAAAATGAATTGCTGTGTCTCAGGAGGGTAGTGACAAAAATGGACAGAAAACTTTGTCCATAAAAGTTCACATTCTTTGTGCTTCTAGGCATACAGTTCAGTTGGATCCTTTAAAACCGGTTACCAGGGTGACACAGGGTAACTAAAGGTGGGTGGGAGAGAAACATCTTACACTGCCAGAGGTATTAGAGGTAAGAAAACAACAGCCAAGGAGACAGATTTACAAAGATGAGATTGAAGCACGAGATAAAGCTGCAGAGACTCGTCATTTCATAGAGCTTGTGTTTATTTTTTGCTATCTACAGTATGTGAATTAAATTTAGATGGAATGGCAGTTGCCACAATAAATTGGGAGCTTCTGAATATTGCTGAATTATCAACACCGACCATACCGATCACATATCGCAAGCATTTTGCTGATATCTATCTTTCATTTTGATAAGTAGCCTATACTCAGGGTCGTCATGTACCCCCAAAATCTGAGGGGGCACAATGTACGTGAAGATGGATGGGGGGTGGTCAGGAGGGGTGCTCGCCTCCTACTCATTCAAGTTTTTATTAATTTTTATTTTGACTGTTTTCGACATTGTAGAATAATAGTGAAGACATCAAAACTATGAAATAACACATATGGAATCGTAGTAACCAAAAACGTGTTCAACAAATCAAAATATATTTTCGATTTGAGATTCTTCAAAGTAGCCACCCTTTGCCTTGATGACAGCTTTGGCATTCTTTCAGCCAGCTACATGAGGTAGTCACCTGAAATGCATTTCAATTAACAGGTGGGCCTTGTTAAAAGTTAATTTGTGTAATTTCTTTCCTTCTTAATGCGTTTGAGCCAATCAGTTGTGTTGTGACAAGGTAGGGCTGGTATACAGAAGATAGCCCTATTTGGTAAAAGAACAAGTCCATATTATGGCAAGAACAGCTCAAATAAGCAAAGAAAAATGACAGTCCATCATTACTTTAAGACATGAAGGTCAGTCAATCCGGAAAGTTTCAAGAACTATGAAAGTTTCTTCAAGTGCAGTCGCAAAAACCATCAAGCACTATGATGAAACTGGCTCTCATGAGGACCGCATCAGGAAAGGAAGACCCAGAGTTACCTCTGCTGCAGAGGATAAGTTCATTAGAGTTAACTGCACCTCAGATTGCAGCCCAAATAAATGCTTCACAGAGTTCAACTGTTCAAAGGAGACTGCGTGAATCAGGCCTTCATGGTCGAATTGCTGCAAAGAAACTACTAAAGGACACCAATAATAAGAAGAGACTTGCTTGGGCCAAGAAACACAAGCAATGGACATTAGACCGGTGGAAATCTGTCCTTTGGTCTGATGAGTCCAAATTTGAGATTTTTGGTTCCAACCACCGTGTCTTTGTGAGACGTAGAGTAGGTGAAAGGATGATCTCTGCATGTGTGGTTCCCACCGTGAAGCATGGAGGAGGAGGTGTGATGGAGTGGGGATGCTTTGCTGGTGACACTGTAAGTGATTAATTTAGAATTCAAGGCACACTTAACCAGCATGGCTACCACAGCATTCTGCAGCGAAACGCCATCCCATCTGGTTTGCGCTTAGTTTTTCAACAGGACAATGACCCAAAACACTCCTCCAGGCTGTGTAAGGGCTATTTGACCAAGAAGGAGAGTGATGGAGTGCTGCCTCAGATGACCTGGCCTCCACAGTCACCCGACCTCAACCCAATTGAGATGGTTTGGGATGAGTTGGACCGCAGAGTGAAGGAAAAGCAGCCAACAAGTGCTCAGCATATGTGGGAACTCCTTCAAGACTGTTGGAAAAACATTCCTCATGAAGTTGGTTGAGAGAATGCCAAGAGTGTGCAAAGCTGTCATCAAGGCAAAGGGTGGCTACTTTGAAG